ATCATTACTTCGCTCAGTTGGGTAAACTTTGCAGAAAATTGGGAGAGAAAATAAAATCGTCCGATCTATTCAACAATTGTCGTGGATATGAGACGTAACCACAACACAACATAAGTCTACTAGAAACGTGATATCACAATCGTAATGACGTAAGCCAATGAAAACTCACGTTAGAAAGGATTGCAAGTAAGCAAGATGCAGTCTTATTGCTTAAGGGGGGACCTATGTCGTTCTACGTCAAAGCAGCGTTATGTGACGTCACAATAGCGACGTTTGTTTTTTACCTGTTGACTTTTGCAATAGTGATAAAGGCATAACATTGTTATTAATCAATAACATACACAATTTACAAAAAGAAAATTTGTTCATGATTAATAACAGTTTTATTTGATTTATGGAGTTTATTATTAGAATTCCCTTCCTTTGGTAGATAATTCATAGTAATTTAAGTTTTGAAGAAATACCTCGATGTTTTGCTGATATACAAGTGCAAAAAGATTTAACATAAAATTCAGCAAAGAAAGGGCTTAAATCAGGGAAATATGTTTAATTTTATGTTTACCATTAATTATATTTTCTGGATAAAACTAAGAAAGAATTCAGAAATGTGCTTGTACGTATATTTGCTTACTGATTTGTAGTACATGTAGATTTTATTAGATAAAGTCATTCCTAGGTTCTAACAGGTGTTGGTTGTTGACGGGGAAATAGGGGGGAGGGATGATAAGAATGAAGAAGAAAAGAATTAATTTGTTTGAATGGTTTCTAAATCAAAACAAAATACTCGTTTTTCGCAAAATAGTTTTATTTTCAGTTGTTTGTCATTGCTTACTTACCTTTATTTTAGTGCAGAAAGGTCAAAATGTATGACACAAGAGTACGAAAATAAAAGAAAATGTCATATTTCTTGTTTATTTTATCATAAAGGTATATTTTTTTCTTTGTTAAAATAAAGAGATGAGTCGTTTCTTTCAAAAAATATGAATTACGACATTTTCACACAAAGACTTTTTAAGATATTACCTGTTATGTATGACGGAATTGTGAAAAATACGACAAGAAAAACGGGGTGATACTTACATTGTGCGCCTTTATAATTTTTAATGCGAAATAAATTTCAATGAATTTGCCTTCATTTTAAAGATACAAGTCATATAAATTGAATACATGTTGATTTCGAATGTGATTTTACATTTTTGGTTCTTTTTAACGCATATTTGGTGTAGAACAGGAATGTCTGAAAATAATCTATTTTTAGCATTTTACACTGTTTTTGCACGTGCTCCTATGTAAAAATAAGCATATAAAGGTATTATTTTTAATATCTAAAAATTAAGAGCAAGTGGTCAGGAAAGAAATATCAAAATTTTGAAAATTTCACACAAAGACTTTTCGGACATAGGTCCCCCCTTAATAACAAACGAAAGGATCGGACCTCAGGCGCGGATCCAGGAATTGAAGTTAGAGGGGGCCCCAACTAGGCAAGGGGTCTGGGGGCCGCCTTGAGGCCCCCAGTGGGTCCAGGGCAAAGCCCTGGTGGGGGCCGAGGGGGCGAAGCCCCCGGAAGCTCCTGGGTTCTAGAGATTTTGTAGGGTTAAAATGAGGTCTACCAAGTAGACATATTTACATTTTCTAATGGAAACTGTGATTTACGTAAACTTTGGAAAATTTTAGGGGGCGCGCCCCCCCTTAAATCCGCCACTGGACCCTGATTGTAACTTCAAGAGAGTTTTCTATATGTAACGATATATGTAACGAATACAGTAAAAATCGCGCGAACACGGATTGGATAATTCAAAATTACAGATATGGCAAAGTTATCTTGGATTCCCGGCTACATGAATTTTACTAATTCCGTACATGGATATATCAAATTACGGACATGAGGTTAAATTCCAGTGACTTTGTCATAATCGAGTTTTACTGTACTACTAAAGCTTTGTTAAATTTATCGACACGCTTAAATTGTGACATTTTACCACAAATCGATTACACGGTGTAGTACCTAAACGGTTGCTATCAGAACAAAATAGCGTTCAGTGTTGCTATTCGAAATTTGTACGGCTGCTATCTGAAATAAATATGTTGGAGCCTCTTGGAACAAGTTGTAAAACTGTGAAATCGTGACCCCAAATCAATATAGCCATTAAAAAAACCAGGTGCACGGAACAAGTAAGGCATTTCTATAATTGTTGCCATGTGTACTTTGCAGAATAGTCCTCTAATAATTTAGAATTAGTAAAATCTCCGAAGCCTGTATCAAATATCAAGTCCATACACACACAGTTTTCATGTTTTTTTTAATCTTCTATTATTCAGATTGTGTTAATTGTGGTATGTGAAGATGCGTCAATCTATAATATAATACTTACAAATGATTAAAAATATTTAAAAGTGTATTTTGAAAGAAATTTTTGGATGAAACACGATTTTTTAAAGTTACGGTTGCTATCAGAGTCTTAGCATATATTGCACCGGCTATAAACTGAAAACATCTCATCGGTTGCTATTTGAAAATTACTCTTATTTCCATCAATTAAATATTAAAATAAACTTATGGTAGCAAATGCCTGAAATATACATGTTAAATATCCTAAATAGCATGTGAAATACGATTTCTATTTTATATGCAATGGACTTTTACCAACTTAACTCAGGGACGTAACTTCGAATTTGAAAGGCGGAGGCGGGGGAGGGGGGGGGGGGGGCAGAAAAGTTCAAATCTGTAAAAGAACTGACATGGAAAAAAAGGGAAATTGTCGAACCTCTTTCAGTGACATTTTTTTTCACGCGCTAGCGCCTAGCTATCTTTCTTTGATTTTACTGAAATAAAAAGGGTGTGTGTGTAGGGGAGGGGGGAGGGGAAGTTAGCTCGGAAGAAAGTCAACAGGCCTTTCAATAAACATTTTAAAAAGTAAAGGTTATGCTTGGAACAAAATTGGGGGGGGGGGGGCGGACATGCCTGTTACTCGAATGTATACACGCAATATTCAAAACATCGACCCCCTCGCCCTATTAAGATTTTCACGAGTTCTTTAATTTATCTAGGTAAAAAAAGACAAGCCCCAGTCCCCCCACCCCGCCCAAAAAGAAAGAAGGGTTTTTAAGATAGACGACATATTTTCAATAAATTCATAATTTTTGGACTTTTGGAATGTTTGACAATACTACAGCATTTTTTTTATTTGCAGAAAATTTTCTTTACAAAAAAGGGGAAAGAGGGGCAACCCCCCCCCCCCCCACCCCTTTTCCTTAAACGAATATGTACATCATATGAACATCCTACGTACACAAAACGTGGACGATAATGTAAGCTCATATGTAAATACATTTATTTATTGTCTACGTTTTGCTCTTATGTACATTGTGAACTTTACTGTCTGGAGTAATTATCGACGTTGGACAAAACTTTATGTGAGGTTTATTCATTTTTCAATTAAGATATTTTTTTATCAGATCGAGATTAAAAATCTGTAGGTTTATGTTTGGATAGGTAGGCTAAGTAAACTTTCAGAAAAAAGAATCTCCCGTGGTTTGTGGTTCGATAATTATGATTTTTTGAATTCCAAATTGTGGGGTTTTTTTAATCAATTTGACTAAAACTGATTTTTCGTGGATAACAAAATGTTATCAATCCACAAACCTTGAAAACCCATGCATTTTATCAATCAGGCATAATTACACGGTTGGAATATAATAAATTCAATGGTCACATGAATTAATGCTAACAGTTTTGTTTGTGCATGTACCATAGGCGTCGGAAGCAAATTGAAAGGGGGGGGGCTAAACGGCTAAACAAATAAAACAGATTATTCCCAGTTTTCAATGCCTATTAGGCTATATTATGTATATAATATATATGTATCTTTGCAAAAAAAGTGGGAAGGCTAAGCCCCCCCCCTCCCCGTTCCGACGCATATGTGTTTAGTGTACATGTACATAGAAACTCTACTTTTCACATTATACATATAAACATAAATCGAAAGTAACATACAGAAAAGTTCAAATCTGTAAAAGAACTGACATGGAAAAAAAGGGAAATTGTCGAACCTCTTTCAGTGACATTTTTTTTCACGCGCTAGCGCCTAGCTATCTTTCTTTGATTTTACTGAAATAAAAAGGGTGTGTGTGTAGGGGAGGGGGGAGGGGAAGTTAGCTCGGAAGAAAGTCAACAGGCCTTTCAATAAACATTTTAAAAAGTAAAGGTTATGCTTGGAACAAAATTGGGGGGGGGGGGGGCGGACATGCCTGTTACTCGAATGTATACACGCAATATTCAAAACATCGACCCCCTCGCCCTATTAAGATTTTCACGAGTTCTTTAACTTATCTAGGTAAAAAAAGACAAGCCCCAGTCCCCCCACCCCGCCCAAAAAGAAAGAAGGGTTTTTAAGATAGACGACATATTTTCAATAAATTCATAATTTTTGGACTTTTGGAATGTTTGACAATACTACAGCATTTTTTTTATTTGCAGAAAATTTTCTTTACAAAAAAGGGGAAAGAGGGGCAACCCCCCCACCCCTTTTCCTTAAACGAATATGTACATCATATGAACATCCTACGTACACAAAACGTGGACGATAATGTAAGCTCATATGTAAATACATTTATTTATTGTCTACGTTTTGCTCTTATGTACATTGTGAACTTTACTGTCTGGAGTAATTATCGACGTTGGACAAAACTTTATGTGAGGTTTATTCATTTTTCAATTAAGATATTTTTTTATCAGATCGAGATTAAAAATCTGTAGGTTTATGTTTGGATAGGTAGGCTAAGTAAACTTTCAGAAAAAAGAATCTCCCGTGGTTTGTGGTTCGATAATTATGATTTTTTGAATTCCAAATTGTGGGGTTTTTTTAATCAATTTGACTAAAACTGATTTTTCGTGGATAACAAAATGTTATCAATCCACAAACCTTGAAAACCCATGCATTTTATCAATCAGGCATAATTACACGGTTGGAATATAATAAATTCAATGGTCACATGAATTAATGCTAACAGTTTTGTTTGTGCATGTACCATAGGCGTCGGAAGCAAATTGAAAGGGGGGGGGCTAAACGGCTAAACAAATAAAACATAGATTCTTCCCAGTTTTCAATGCCTATTAGGCTATATTATGTATATAATATATATGTATCTTTGCAAAAAAAGTGGGAAGGCTAAGCCCCCCCCCCCCCTCCCCGTTCCGACGCATATGTGTTTAGTGTACATGTACATAGAAACTCTACTTTTCACATTATACATATAAACATAAATCGAAAGTAACATACACGGCAAGTCAATCATTTAGAAAGAATATAGAAGGAACATTTAGAATATAATTTCCTTAACTATAATTGCATATCAGATGTAAATTGAGGATGTGATTTCATAAAATTTGAAAACTTAAACCTTTTCAAATAGTAACCGGTGCTGTTGTCTAATAGTAGCCGTAACATAAGTTTCTCCTAAAAAACGCTCTAGATTTTAAGAAACCCATCAAAGCGGGCAATGTTATCAAATAACCAATAATACTAACAAATACACAAAGAACTGTCGATTCACTTTTATCAAATATCTAAAAATTTTGACGCAATTTCAATATATTTCTTAAGTGCACGTAAATGTGTCCAACGCTTTCGACAGTTTTCGTCTTGTATATCAGCAATCCTTTAATTCATTAAAATTCTAAATATACATGTTAGTTTTAAAAGGTATGTTGCGTTCCGTAAGGATGAAATACCAAGCAGCTAAACTTTAATAATTGAATTCTTGACCATTTTGTTAAGCCAGCGAAGAAAAATACTTACAATTTCGTCCATTTTTTTCCACTAGCAACCGCTCAACTTTCGGATAGCAGTAAAGAACGCGCAATTTTTTCTGATAGCAACCGTTTAGGTACTACACCGTGGATTATAGCAAGCCTTTTCTCATGAAAGACATTTTTAACACATACATATATTTTTCAAACTTAAAATTACTGATCAATATACTCCTATCATATCACTTTAAAAGATTTATTCATTGCAATTAATAATTTATAAAATAGATTTATAAATAAATAATAAAATAAAAAATAAATAAACGAACACCCAGTACATGTAAATGAATTAATAAAATAGTCCTCTAAAACATACAAAAAGAACATGTTCATCATGTTTTTACAAGGGATCTATATCTTAACGATTTTGATGATAATTTTTTTTATATGTTTATATAATACTTTTTTTTTTGAATAACGGTAACAAAAAGTTTTTTTTAAGTTGTCAATTTGTGTTTGCTATTAAATGTATGTTACAATATAAGATACACGCAACTGATGAATGTCAGAAATTATGGAGCACCCTCCCCTCAAAAAAAAAAGGAATTGTAGCAGCACAATACGATTTATCCTTTGAAACATTTGAACAGCAACAATTAAATATCGCTACCCCACTCCCATCACCGCCTCTCTCACTTTGTTTACTTGATCAGTCGTCATTAGCTATGCCCCCACCACCAGCCAACCCTCCACCCCACCCCACCCGGATGTCGTTGTCAATAGCGACACCTGCATAATGTAGAGCTAGGAAAATAATTTACAGGCTTTATTTAGTTTCTTTATTCTGGGACTGCTACTTTTAACGGAAGTGCTGTGTATATAATATGTGATCAAAATCAAGACTCACTGTGTACTATAATATTTTTACATCAATCACTTTTTTGCCCCCCCCCCCCTTTCACAAACTGGGGTGTATTAATTGAAGTTTGTGTCTCTCCCTCATGGATATGTCTGTCTGTATTTCTGTCTGTCCTTACACTCATTTCCATGTGATATCTAAAGAAGCTTTTTTGAGTTTTTGCAATGAAATATACAGCAATTCCCTATGGCCTTAGGAAGAAGCCTTTTTGCTGCATAAATGAAGAATGATTGGAGAAAAAAAAAATTATTTTGGTGTCACAGATAATTTGGCCCAAGACAAGACTTTTTTAAATGCTGTGTCTCATTTAAATTATAGAATGTCTGAAGTACTTTTTAACCTTAAAATATTTCTTCACTTCTTAGTTATGGTTTCACAAAAATGCCTTTAGACTCTTATGTTGATCTCTCATGTGGCACAAAATCAGGATAAGCAATTAAGCTATTCAGAGAATCTGTGTACCCAGCTTATAGGAAAAAGAAGAGCATGCACAGATCTAGAGGGGTTCAAAGGAAAGGGGAAAAGGTTGGGCCAAAGGGAGTAAAAGTATAAAAATTTCATTTTTAAAGCTTAAAAGCTCCTTGTGGTATCACTCAGAAATGAAAGATTTACTCACACACAGAATATTTGAATTTATGACCCTGACCTTTGACCTAAAAATGAATAAGGTTGTTCCTTGAATCATTATGATGAAGACGTAGTATAAAATTTTACTGCAAAAGCTTTATGAGATATCCTGCGAAATGAAAGTGTTAAGCAAAACACACAAAATTTATTACCCTTGACCTTTTGACCTCAAAATCATTACAAAGACTTTAGGTTAGAAAATGTTATTGCACTGCGATGGTATTTAAAGCCTGGCATCTTAATAAGTGACTTCATTCAAATTTTACAGGAAAATTCTTATCACCACAAACTGTCCATTTATGTTTTATCCCTTAAGTATTACATTACATTAGTCTTAACTTTCTACTTTCAAGTTACCTTTGACCAGTGCCTTCCCAAATTGCAGATGTCTTCCTCTTATTAGTCTTGAACTACTCACAATCACAAATTTTCATTGGGGTTCAATTTTTCCTTGATTTTGAGGTATGAGGAGACCTGTGAATGCATGTCCACCACGAAATGTTAAGCATTTCAAACTCAACCATTCTTCATCCACAAAGTGAAATCCCAATGGATTTTCTTCCCAAACCAAGAAAATCTGACCCCATGAAAATATGTATTTGACAGTAACTGTATGTGGTTACAGCTATACAACATCTGAGATATAACATAAAGGTTAGCGGCTGCAAACTCTCCATTCTGTGAAAAGAACAAAAATTATCACTAAACTATCATTTACCACTCTGCAGCAGAATTCTCTTCATAACAATAGTATTTCGATGTATATTACAGATTTATTTCATCTTAGATCAACAATAAAGCCTGGTTGAAGACTGTAGAACATATCAAGTATGTGATGAAATAAAAAAAAAAAAATAACTCTTTGGGGTTTGGTCTTGGTTCCTTACAAACTTACTCAAAATTTTATTTGGATACTAGTAATCAAGTAAATAAATACATGTACAATTTTCTTCTTGGTTTGCAGCACATCTTGTTTTGGAAATAATGCTCTTCCACAGATAATAAATCATTTTAATAAAAACGTGTAAGTTCTTTTTTCATAAAAATTCACGAGTTTGGCAACATATCGTAGTCAAAAAATTATGCCATTATATATAGGTCTCCATCTTTTTTCCCTGTTCACAACAATAATAAGAGTAACTCCAGTTTTCACTTATAATAAAGTTTTCATTTTCATCTTGGATTCATTTGGACGTCAGTATGTTTTGGCTTCAAATATAGCCCAGTCTCTGCAGTTGTCCTGGTACCGGAACATGTAGTGGGTATGTACACTATAAGGCATTTACTTAAGCGGTCAAAATAGCCCCAACTCTGGTTGTCAGTAAAGTGCTGTCTTCTGTTTACATAGTTTACATTTGTATAGCCCTGGTCTCAGTTTTCAATATAGCCCTGACTTCAGTTGTCACTATAACCCTGACATTCCTGTGGTTTGGTGTCAAGTCCACTTTGTCCATATATGATGTGATAATGGTACCCTTTGTCAATATAGCCCTGCCTTCAGTTGTCAATATAGCCCTGCCTTCAGTTGTCAGTATAGCTCTGTCTTAAGTTGTCAATCCCTGTCTTCAGTTGTCAATATATCCCTGACTTTCCTGTGGTTTGGTGAAGTCCACTTTGTCCCTATACTTGATGTGATAATGGTGTCCTCTTCTCAGCAGTGGATTCTGAGGGTCGGTTTTGGAGTGATCATCATACACAGTAGAAATTATCACTTCTCTGTCGGCTCGCTGAGATTTTCCTGTTGGCCTGACAAGTTTCTCACCTCTGTATCTGAAGACAGAAAATTAAGAGTAAATAAAATGATTGATCATTCAGATATTTTTAAAAAGTTTTTAATACTAAAGTATCCTGATGCCCCAGATCATTGAGACAAAAAACATGTATTATGAGATGAAAAAAGTAAATTCCAATCTGAAGGAAGAAATAAAACAGTAGCTTTAAAATGCAGTATTGTAGATTTTTTTAAATCAAATAACATTTACCCAAATCCTTTTCTGTCTTTGGGATTTTGTCCATCATTTTCCAATGCTTCTGCAATCCCTTTTACAGAGGATCCTAATCCCTCTCCTTCCTGCCAGCCTTGCTTTTCTAGGATCTTCCTTCCTACTCCTTTAGTGTGGGATTCAAATCTTCCTATTTTGTGATCTTCCTTTGGAACCCTGAGTTTTCTTTTTCTCCCTATTCCCACGGTGAACCTGTCTGTGGCCTCTTCACCATCCCTCCTACGTTTTTCTTGCCTCATGGTCACATGATCTCTGGCATCCTTATCCCCCGCTCCGTCTTCATAATACACACTCATGTCCACATCCCAGTCATCGGTTGTTTGTTCATCAAAGTCTGAAAAAATTAGTGACATCATCAATTAATAATAAGCTTTGCTCACAATTTATTATTCATTTGTAATGTTTTGAATTTTTTTTCCCCGCTGCATGTACAAAATTTAGAAAGTCTCCATTTTCTTATACATGTACTATGTTTAAAGGTTCCAGAAAAAATAAACTACAAACCAAGAATGATAACTCTTACTGGTAACTCAGTCCAGTGGAATCTTGCCAACACCACATTAACAACACTTCTTGATAAAATACCTTTTTCAAGGCTTATGTATGAAATTTTTAATGTTTACACAAGATTGTCTGCTCAGAAAAATTTCATTCTCACATATATTTTTTCAGTAAGAATTATATCAATAAAAACCAGAGTTCATGATTTTTCTTCTTGTGCCATTTGACTGTATCTGGTGAAATTAAGTGTTGGGAAAATTTAGTGATCTACTGTATAACCATCAAACTTTCATTCCACTCTTGTTGATTGCAATCCACTGAACCGTCTTACCCCCTTCCTGCTCCTGCCAGTACTGGGCATCGGTGTAGAAGACCAGTCCACTGCCCCCCTTCTCCCACTTCAGCTCTATCTCCTCCTCAAACAGCCGGTCCTTGTTTCTCTCCTGGTTTGTTGGGTCGTCTGTCAGTGCTTCATGTCGCTCCCATTCCTCACAACTGTCATCATCCTAAAGAAAGATTACATTTACTTAACGTTAAGATTTACTGAATCGTACGAAGTGCCTGTGATAACTGTGCTTAGAATTTGCAAGCATTTTTTGTTTTTTTTATTTTGCTGCTTGATGATTTTTGCTATATAAACCATTTCATATTTGAAAGAATAAAGAACTTATGAAGGTCTATGTAAAAAAAATACTGGCTCTCCCTTTTTTTTATTATTCACAACATTTTTGCCTGATAAGTGCCGCACTTACATGCTCAGAATCATTGTCTTCCTTGTGGATCATATCCTCTTCAATGTTCATCTCCATTCTCTTCTTTGTTTCTGGGTCTTTTCTGGTTACTCTTTTGTATACCTTTTGACTTTGTTCATCTGACCTGTCAGTTTTTTCTTCAAAGTCTTCCTCACTCACAAGTTTATGTCCACAACCAGATAACACAGCTTCCTCGCCGGATTCTTCGTATTTTGGCTCCTCTTTCTCACCCCCATAATCAAAAGAAACATTTCCATATCTGTTGTTTACTCTGGTTTTGGGAAACTTCAGTCCTAATTTCTTTATAACAATGGGAGGAAGTTTACACTGTCTAATGGCTTCCATGAAAATAGATGTTGGAGTTCCCACATTTCCATTTGGCATTGCAGCAGGGGGATGTAGCTCTGGAAGTTTCATTAAATCTGCTTCTGTGAAAGTTTCCCTGTCACTGGGTATCTGTTTCAGCTCTCCTCTTGTCTTGTACTTTGAAGACATATCTATAAGTGAAGAATATATTGAAATATTTATAAAACACCAGTCTTAAATATATAAAAAAAAAATCATAATGCTGTTAACTGAAGTCTTGTGTAACATATAAGATTATTATTCCAGACAAACAATTGTAAATCATAATGAACAAAATGGGCTGATGCTCAAAAGAATAATGTGACAGATAATATTGTTACATCATAACAGTTTTAAACAGAACAAATCATGCTACCATATTTTCAGGCTGTTCACTTAGAGTAGGAAGACACTGAGTCAGTTTCTGACATTTCCAGACAAGTTGAGATGTAAATAATAAAATTTGAAATTACTTTATCAATAAAGCTTTAATACAATGTGTTCATTTATATCAGAATTCTTTCAAATACCTACCTCCTGACTGTTGAATTTTGGCTTTAGAAATATGACACACTTTGGAAATCGATTCTCCATTGCTGTCTAGCCAATGTTTTCTGTGGTACATCTTCAAAAGTTCATCACATCTATCTGTATACACTCTAGCAACACAACAACACGTATTAGATGATTTGCTTTGGGTTTCATCTTTATCGACGACCCCATCGTCTATGTGACGTTTCTTCAGTTGAACCTCTGGTCGATGTCTGAAGTGGAAACATTTGAATCCCTTGGTCTCTATAAACTGGGAGAAGAAGTTTCTGAGATCTGAGGAACGATAATCACGGGGTATATTGTTTATAATTACAAAGACTGTATCTCTTTCGTCACTCATTACAACTTTTTTGTTTACAACCCCAACTTGTTTACTTTCACATTTAAACTTCCGGTTTGATGTATATAAAAGTAGAACGGTCCAAGTACTTTTTTCCGGATTAAAGAACAAAGCTCACTTACTGACTTAGAGCCTTATTGGCCCCGGCTGTGAATTTCTTAAAAAAAAGATCTTGTATTTGATTATTCTGAATAGCCCCCAACCTCTGATCTATTTCATTATATAATGAAAGAACTGTTTCAGAATAAGAGTGACTCATATTTTGATTATTTGTTGAAGATGCTCAAACTCACTCACTTTCTTCAAAATTAAAGCACATTGCAGTTTCACAAAGTCTGTTTTCCAATACATGTGTACTTTAACTCTCAGGGTCATTCAGAGGATTTTTATATAATAAATGAAAGTACCAATTATCTACTTTATATTGATGTTTAAAATGGGGCATTGGAATTTGGTCGGTAAATTGGTTAATTGACAGGGTCATCTTATGGAGTTAGGGAACTTATAGGCCTATATACCTCTTGAAAAAAATCACAATCGATTATTGTCGGTTTTATAAAATGGACATCACGCTAAACCATTCTTGATCTTTTTTATACTTTAACACACATTTTTAAAATTTTGTTTTAATTCTTGGGAAAATAACTAAGAAACAATTCTATTCTTTAAAGAATTCAACATCCTGGCCTTCTTGTGCTCCGTAAAGATTAATTAATTAAATAGTCCCGTTTACATCTTGGACCCAAGCAGGACAAATACCAATCTCCTATGCAGAGTTGTCGTTCGTTCCTCTCTCAGACATAGTATGAGCCGATGGTAGAGAGTGGACAAATACCAGTAAATTATTCTACTACTCAATATAAATTGAACATTCAAAACAGTGTCTTCACCCTTTGTCTTACTTTGCAATTATTAACATCATTAAATATCGATCATGCAGTTTCCCATTGCTGATTAATTGTTATAACAGTTTTTATCTGGTTGATTTTCAGTAAAAAATGAAACATGAATTGTGACATTGCGACTAGATATGAAGAAAGAGAGAGAGAGAGCAATTACCAAAACAACATTAAAAACAACAGAGCACATGTACAGCACCTAGACTGTACTGCTGACAATGACAATGACAATGACTTTATTCTCATAAAACTTATAAAGTTGTAGAGAACAATAATTAATACAAATACTTATGACAATGCACATTGCGTGGGAAAAAAGAATTTTAAGGACAGATGATACAAACAAATTTTTTCTTTGAAAAAGATTTAATATCATGTCACAAGTTTAGAAAAGTAAAACAAAGAACTGGAAAATGAAATAGACTTGGAAAATATTAGTAATATTTCAATAAAAAAACAAATATAGACAAATCACATTCAGTAAAGGTTTACAGATGAAAATAAATTTCAGAATATGTTATCTTGGCGCTAAAAGTGTAATATAAACCTTAGAAAAATATACCAAACCAGGTGAATTTTAAGAGGGAAGATCAAAATGACAAAAAATTAGCAATATCACATAGGCTGATTTTTACCATTTAGCTTTTCCTAATAAAATTCACCTGGCTTGGTATATTTTTCTTAAGTTTATATTACACTTTTAGCACTGTGTTAACCTATTCTGAAAATTGTTTTCACCTGTAAACCTTTACTGAATGTGATTTGTATATATTTGTTTTTTCATTGAAATATTACTAATATTTTCCAAGTCTTTTTCACAGTTCTTTAAGAACCATCCACATTTCTAAACTTGTGACATGATTTTTAATCTTTTTAAAAGAAAAAATTTGTTTGTATCATCTGTCCTTAACCAGGAGAGCAAACTCTCTCGATAATCTTTTGTATACATTTACAAACTTTTATCAACTGTTTCTTATTTGTGGTTTTAAACGGATTCTCAAATTTATATACATTTGGGTTCTCAGCATAATAATTAGATAAATATAATGCTTCACCAAGAATGTGTTGCTTGAGATCTTTTCCCACAGATTAAAATTCTAGGATTAAGAAATATTTTTTATTATAATTAGGACTTCGTGTATTTCCTTGCAACATTCTCAAATAATAATTAATTGGGAAAATGTTGAATAATTCAATTGTAACGTTAAAAAATTTTGCATCCTTAAATTAATTTAAGTGTTTGTTTATTTTATAACATACATATAGTTCTAGTTAAGTACATGTTACAATGTAATGTATGTAGAAAAAGTGTGTAACAGTTGATTTTTGAACATATGAAAACTAAATTCAAAATTAATTTTAGCCCGCAACTTGAGATGTGTAACATTGACCACGTCATTGAAAACAAATTAAGATGGGCAAAAATATTTCGCCTTGCATAACACTTAAGATACCTTTTTATTTTTTACATTTCAGTGTTACTCTGCTTTGATTTCTTAAAATATTTAATATAACGCTAGTTTTTTTTAACAAATTTGTGTTTAATTTCCTCTCTTTTAATAAATATTTTCAACCAATACTTATAATGCTTTGTACATGTATCTACAAAGAAGGCCAGACGTATCTCTCCATATTTTTTTTTTCAATAAATGTACGGGATTTTTTTAAAATTCAGAATAATATGCGCAATTACAGATAATTACATGCAATAAGAGGTAAGATGTATTTTTAAAGCTTTAATTCATATGGTTTAATAAGTTTCTATAAGATTAATATGGTTGTTTTAAAAATAATTATCGTAGACATAATATAGACATGCATGATGATAATTAATATGAAAACAAATGCTTCAAAAATTAGCTAAATATTAATTACATTCATTTAAGAAAACCAGAGATTAATGCTACGAGTACAGTTATCATTCAAAAAACAATACATCGTTAGCCATCCATAAATTAATTAGTAATTAGTGTGTCGAGCTGGTCAGCCAGCCCTTGAAACAACATCAGAAGTACTGTAACAGGTGACAAATACTACTCCGAAGAAATGTACTTATGAAATATACTTCATAAGAGTATAAATAGGACGAGCCAACACTTGAAAAATCACAGTCAACTGTTCTCTACACAGAAAGCAAACATTCATTCATTCAATACACACTTGTGTTTCCACTTTGAAAACAATGGAAGTCCAAAGAGGAAAGAAATCAGTTGGTGGGAAGTTGATGAGGCATTTTTCTATAAAGGATGGAGCCATTCCAATGGTTGGCAAAAAGGTAAGATTTGAATGGTAAAAGTTAGTAGAGGGCATTATTTTGTTTAAACTCGGCTATATGTCGGTTCATTCGTTAAAATTTTAAATCACCATACACAAAGTATCTCATATAAATTAATGCAAAACATTTCTGGAAAGTTGAATGTTTTAACAAAAAATTATATTCATGTTTTAAATTTTTTTTTAAAATATTTTTTTAGGCCAGCAAACCAATCACTGAGAAGCGAAGAAGGGACAGGATCAACAAATGTCTCGTGCAGCTGAAGAATATCGTAATGAGGGCAACGGGCAAAGATGTATGTATTCTATATACATTGAAGGAATTTTTGATATCTGCAGTATTTACAAAAAAAAAATCGTTTAGATATTTTTTATCCTGGTGTTAATTTAAAATATGACATTAATTTACGTTTATTTTGATATTTTTGCAGGAAAAACGTTTTGCGAAAATGGAAAAAGCAGACATATTGGAAATGACGATTGGTCATTTGGTTGAGATGCATCAGCAAAATATAGGTAATAATTTCATTATCATGTGTTTTCATGCCAAAGAATCGCTTCTTTGAGGTGTATGTTGACTTATATTCATATTTCATATGCTATTTAAATATTCGCAAACATAAGGACAGATTTCACGATGACCATTGGAACTCTTTGCTATGTACATTGATGGAATCAACATCTTGACCAAGTTGTGAGTAAGAAATGAAGTTGACGAGGGTGTCATTTAAAATGTGAATAAACTTTAATTTTACATATTAAATTGCAATAAATATAACCTTAATATTTTAATATCTATTTATTATTAGGTAAATGCTTCGTGGATCACTGGGGAATTGCCACGCCAGAACCAGGGAACCCTTTGGATCCCTTCAGATCTATGAAAAGAAATAACGTCACAGAAAATCTGCAGCAGGGCATCACACACCCGAGTTTTTATCCGGATCCTCTTTTCTGCACACCTGCATACAAATGTGGATACAGTGGAGAAAAGGAAATAATGGACGTCAACTTTGACACCAATGACGTCATTGAATCAAGTAGCGTCATGTGCGGGTCTGCTTCTCGTGTTTTTATCTTTGCAGATGACAACAATGGCATGAAATGCGTAAAAAGCCCTGATAGCCCAATGCGCCATCACAACAATTTATCAACGGAACGGAACCCGATGTATTATTCTTGTAAACCCCTCTTCACCTCTACCCCAGTCGATGCTAGTGCTATAAAACCAATCAGGACCTCTACCCCCATTGGACTACCGGCTCTAACAAAGGGCTACATCACTCCGGAGGAGCTGCTTTTGTCCGGAAGATACGACATTAACCTCAATACTTCCCCGGATCTACGTGTTCGATTGTTTACCAGCAGTGAGGAATCGAGTGACGGAAGTCTAGTCAGGAAATCCGGTTCTCCTTCTTCCGGTTCAGAGTCGTCCTCTTTTGAAACCAGTGGCGGATCTAACAAAGAAAGCGGTGTCTGGAGGCCTTGGTGATAAACCATATGAATTAAATTATGACAAAATTGTAAACATACTGTCAGTGTATATATTTGTATATCATTATTTATTCATCTGTATAAAGTTTGCTTAATTTTACCAATTTTGTGACTATAGAGAATAAAAAGACTGACTTCTTAGAACTATCAAATCTTGTCGATTTGCTTTATTCCAAGTTTACTTGTTATGCACTGGCTTTGGGGACATATTTCTTTTGTCTTTGACAATGGGAATAATCTGAGTATATCTTTAAATTTAATCACAACAAATTTTAATTTTAATCAGTGTTTTAATATAAAGCTCTTTGTGACAGACAACATCGTTAACCGATTTGAGCTTACTTATGTAATGCCCCCCCCCTTTAAAACGTTCTATTTTGTAATGTTGTTAAGTTTAAAGGTCAGATGGGGTCCTTCCAGAATCTCTCAAGGACAACTGGTTTCCTTCACATATAGCCAAGGGCTTCTGACACGCTACTCTCCTCATAAACAGCATGCGCGGATCTAGCGAGGGTCCGACCCCCCTCCCCCCTGGAATTTGCAGAGTTATTATTTATAGACTACATCTGTAAACCAAGTAAAACGTGACCTTGCCCCCTCCCCCTTAGGAAACGCAGACCCCATTCAAAAACTTGAATATGGTTGGCATGAAAAGTCATGGGTATGAAGAAAATTTTGTCACAATTTAGTTTGATTTGAGTGCTCAAGAAAAAGCAATTAAAGCACTCTTAATTGTTTAACTGACTGACCAAAAATTGAACACAGGAAAAAAGAAGTTACAGAAGATTTATCTTAAACATTGATATTTGAAAAAAACAAAAGCAATTAAAGCACTCTTGATTGTTTAACTGACTGACCAAAAATTGAACACAGGAAAAAAGAAGTTACAGAAGAACAACATTGATATTTGAAAAAAACAACAACAAAGTTCGGATACAAGTCTAGGCATTATCTGACGTGGATGAAATGATGCAACTGAGGGGAACATCTTAATTCCATGTCTTTGTCAGAATAATACTTTAGAAACACGAAATATGGAAAAATTTGCAAAAGAGAGAGAGAGAGAGAGAGAGAGAGTCCGCTTTTCGGAACCATTTTCTCGCAGCAGCACGGAAACATATCAGAGGATATAATTTTGAAAACAAAAATGCATGGATGGTCTGAACTGATATATTACAACACATTTAAAATATATAATATACACTGTAGTTATAGAAAAAAGAAATGGAGAGGAATTGCAAAAAGATTGAACTTCGAAACTTATATGAAAGATTTTTTTTTATTTATGAAATCAAACATGGGGGCCCAACGTTACATGTAGCTGTTTATTTTTCATAAATTGAAAGAAAAAAAAACTCTATTTTTTTTTTAAATTTAGTTTCAAAGTTCCATTTTTTAAATATCCACCAATATCAAAACAAAAGTTACGACTCATGGACCTCCATCCGGCGTCTGTTTGCTCCAAAAAACCTTTCATCCCGGATTTTTATTGTCTTACCGTTAACATTTTAATTTATATTATTATTTCGCGCCCCGATAGAATTTGCACGTGCAGATGTGAGGACTTCGTGCACAAACTAGGCCTTGGTACCAAATGCTTTTCCTTGCATTATCACAGTGCTTCTGCAACAACACAATTTCTAGACAACTTCGAAGAAGCTCCTTCATGCAGTACCCCAGGCATCACTGTGTTCATCACGGTACACTGAATCTGAGTGACAGACGGGGTTGACCATCGACAAGGCTGGAATCCTTGTTTGCATCCCAACTGACCTAGATCGAGGTGTTGATTCAATGACCCAGTGATAGTATACCTGCACAAATGTCAGCTAAGTATATTAATCATAATATTACTCGCAGTACTTTTTTTCTGGAAGAAATGCCTGCAGAAATTGTTTCGAAGACTCAAATTTAAAAAAAAATATATGGAACCCAATTTTTATCTTTTATCTGATACTCTAGTCTTGAAGTAAATATTGGTGTTGTAGGGTGCAATCTACATTGGAACTTTGAAAAAAGTTTATTGCTACGTAGTTTTGATTTATCTAATAAAATAGCCTTAATATATTTAATCAAATCCTAAATATGCAAATTATTGTTCTCAACTGGTAAATTTGGTAGAATGTAATTTGTACAAATCCTTTCAATATGTAGATCTTTATTTGCAAACAATGTTATGAAAAGTATGTGGGCTTTTTTATTATATATTTATAAAGTGGGTAATCAGGTCCAGTCCAAAGACTATTTCTACCTTCGTAGCTATTAATAGCTACCTAGGTATTTAAAGCTACCCAAAGTAACTACATTTACCTACTTTTTGCTTTACTTGCATTTTGTGGCCAAATGCAGGAACGGCGCAACATGGTGAGCACGAAATTTCTTGATACAATCGCACTGATGATGGATATGACAAAAATTTGACCAAAAAATGATTACTTCGTATGTTATCACTTTTGCATAGAAACTAATGTAAAATTGCCGATTAGGAAGAAATCATTTTTTGGCCAAAATTTTGTCATATATATCATTTGTGTGACTGTATCAAAAAATATGGTACTCACCATGTTGCGCCGTTTGGTCTTTTGGCTGCAAAATGCAGAAAAGATAAAAAGTAGGTAAAAATAGCTACTTTGGGTAGGTTTAAATACCTAAGTAGCTATTAATAGCTACGTAGGTAGAAATAGTCTTTGGACTGGACCTGGTAATTTGTGTACAAAAGGGAACATTTTTGAAATAAAATTTTGAGAGATAGCTCTGGACCTGGTCTAGTTTATTAGCATACTAGATCTGATCTAAGTGTAAATAAAAAGAAGAAAGAAGGCTTAATTGCCTAATATAGCATATTACAGTTAATTCTCGATAAACCGCCACCTTTTGTAATTTAGAAATCATGGCGGTATAACGAATTTGGCGATGAATTGAATTTCCCATCTTTTAGAAAACAACAAGTAGAGTTACCGTTCTTAGAAATACCATTTAGCGTTCTTTTCTTATTATTACATGTACATGTATTGTATATAAAAACATATTTCTGATTGAAAATACTACAAGTAATTTTTTTTAAATATACAAATTCGCTAAAACAAAATGTGCACTTATGAAATGAAGACAAGTACATGAGTGTGCATTTAAATCTGCAGTTCTGCTATTGAAAAAAAAAAAACATGCTGGGTCGATCGTCGTGATATATTGCCGATAGTAAGTAAAATGAATTTTTGAATAAATTATTGTTAATTAAACATTCACAATTTATACCGTATAGTTATTTTTTCAGCAATCTTTGCAATGTTTATAGCAGAGATCATCTAAATTTTATAGTTATCGGCGTACTTTAACAACGACCGCTTTCGTGGCAAGGCCGTGACAAAATAATTTTTATCAAAAAGAAAACAAAATTATTATAACACTTCATGTTAAAATCTTTGTTTATTTAGTTCTTGTTTAATTACTTAATTGCATGTACCTGGTCTGCCTTTGCATAATTTACAGCAGGGATAGTGTCAACCAATTAGCCGCGCTTCACTGACCACACGCACCTGTGGCGGTATATCGAGATAATTGACACTTAAAAATGGACGTTTGTTGTGAAAACAGGGTGGCGGATGGCGGTATGCGAATTTGGCGTTATAAAGAGAATTTTATATAGCAGGAAAAACGTTCTTGGGAAATCATGGCGGTATAGCGAAAATGGCGATGAATCGAATGGCGATAATTCGAGAATTGACTGTATATTACAGTACAATTTATTACACTGTCTTTGTTGCCTGAGATATCCCTTCCAGTTATTTTAGGCTATAACAGAGACCAAAGCTGTCAAGCTTTTATAATCAAGGCTTGGGTAACCTGACATTTTGGCCTAATTAGGATATGGTCAAAACTGTTTAACAGTTTGTCCTAGACTAATCAGCCCAAACATTTTCTCACTTCAGGCCAACTTTAAACCCATTGCCAGCTACTGCAACCAAGTCTGCTGACCTTATCAGTAAGATAAAGGGTAACAGGAAGGAAAACACACCTACTGCTGTGATGGCAAAGGCAGTAAACTAATTACCACCACCACTTTATCATGTCTGATAACAATATGATTACTTGGAGTTTTGTAGTTTGAGGTCATTGTCTCTTGCTTTTCGTCCAAGATATGTCCATATTCCATTATTTACTTTTGGTACCTGTAAACTTCGACAGTTTTCTAGCTTGAAATGTTTAGGCCAAAAAAGGCTTGTTTCCTGCTACCAGCCTGAAAAAAAAATAGGGTAGGTAGGTTGGGAAATAATTTTCTTTTTCTTTTTTATTTTATTTTTTCTGATGGTGTTTCTTTGGATATGAACTAATACAAAATCAAATTAAACATGCTATAGGTCAATATTGCCTTTGAAATTAAATTTCATGTCTTTTGATGCACAATTCAACTGGTATTTTATGAAAGTCCATATTTAAAACATAGAATTTTATGAAATACCACTTGAATATATATTTTTTTTTCAGTTTTGGAACATGAAATTCCAAAAATTCCTGAATTTTTTCCCCTAACCTTAAAAAAAAACTTTAGGGTCGGGTGCAAACAAATATGGTAGGTCGGGTAGAAGGAAACGACTATTTTTATTTGTGGCCTTAGCTAACAGTTCTTTTTTGTTATCCTTCATTGATGCAAACACAAATACCATCATTGACTACTTTTGCCAATCTTTTGTTCACTTTGCCAGAACATTTCTCATCTTGCTCATAGAATTGTTCAATTTGCAGTGTTTTTCTACATTTTTTAAAAGGGGCCTGGGCCTTTACAATTGGGAAAAATCGTTGACATTTGTATCAAATTGGGAAATATTTTTAAATTGTCATGTAACCTTAATTTTCAGGTAAAATAATTACTATGTAAGTAAATGTAACATCATTCATCAATCTATTTGCTACAAAATAATAAATTAAACACAGTTCTATATTTTTAACTTTTTTAAAAATCTTTGAAAGTTGTTATTGTGACCAACCTATATCAGTATA